CTAATTAGGACTATCTTCCTTAAACCTTAGTATTTCGAGGACCAGCAATTAGCGCGATTTCGAGGAAATCGTTGAGCTTAGACAAATTCACTCTTTTTTTTAACCGATTCTTAAAAGAAGGCAAAGGATATCTTCAAATTGAATTTTATCGAAGTTTATCATTAAAATTAAGTAAATATAGTGTAAAAGAACGTTCGCAAAATTCTAATTAAAATGACACTGAAACAAGTGAGTAAAGAAAGATTTGAAAATGATCATATTGAAAAACGTCGTTAATATAAACAATTTCAATTCATGATGAAATCGAAAACAATAAATGAATAAAATCTCTTAAGTAAATGAAATCTTTTAAATAAGTAGAATTTCTTAAATAAACAATATCTCTTGAATAAATAGGATCTCCCAATAAATGAAAATTGTGTTCAATCTAACAATGGCTCCTAATAAATTCGTTTTTCAATGACAAATGATAATAAACGTAGTGAAACAAACTTACATGTATAATTATCAATTTTATTCAATACCATTAAACACGAAGACCGGTCGGTATTTATACATGACTCAGCAGAATAATATTAGATGTGAGTTTATATGTATAATGAGTGGGGGGCATTACATAACGACCTGATCGACATTAATTTATTACAGTTTGCCAACGCTAATTTAATAGAAAAATTGAGAACATCAAATGTTTTCGTAATGCCTTTTCTTAGACGACGTTGATTAACTTTAATGTCATTGATGCATTTTCAATATTATTGCACGTTTGATCAGACTCAATAAATACGCAACATTATTCGTCATTTTCAATTTTTCTCACTACAGATGGCATTAGTGTCTTGAAACGGCAATCTTCTAATCTCTAATCTTCTAATTCTCTTTCCAAATTCAAAGTTCAGCACAATTGGGAATTTCTGAAGAAATTATTTGAAAGCGTCAACAATTTCATCTATAATTCAACAAATTATTTGAATTTATATGATGTAACAGAGCCAAATCTGGAAATGCTATTTAAAGACAAGTTACCGAGTTTATTTCACATACTGGTGACAGCGGTTATAAATGAAAGTTGTGCACTCT